GGAGTTTGGGGAATATTGACCTTGACATTTGGGAGTGGAAGTTGCTGGGATTTATAGTTCACCTACAATCAAAGAGCATTCTGAGCTCCATCAACAATGGAATTCGATCAAACTTGGCACAAATAACTCCCATGAACAACAGAAAATACTGGAAGGCATCGACCTTGAGTTTTGGAGTTATAGTTCACCTACATTCAGAGAACAATGTGGACTCTAACAATGATGGATCTGGACCAAACGTGGCACGAATATTCCATATGACCAAATATGAACACACATGGATTTTGGTGGAAATAGACCTAGACATTTGGGAATTGTAGTTGCTGGGATTTATAGTTCACCTACAATCAAAGAGCATTCTGAACTTCACCAATGATTGAATTGGGCCAAACTTTCCACACAGAACTCCCATGACCAATAGAAAATACTGGAAGGCTTGGGTGGGCATCGTCCTTGAGTTTTGGAGTTGTAGTTCGCCTCCATCCAGAGAGCACTGTGGACTCAAACCATGATGGATGTGGACCAAACTTGACATGGATACTCAATATGGCCAAATGTGAACACTAATGGAGTTTGGGGAATATTGACCTTGACATTTGGGAGTGGTAGTTACTGGGATTTATAGTTCACCTATAATCAAAGAGCATTCTGAACTCCACCAATGATGGAATTGAACCAAACCTGGCATGCAGAACCCCCATGACCAACAGAAAATACTATTTTCTGCGACCCCTTTGAAACCCCTTGCAACCCCCCAAGTGGCCGCAACCCCCAGGTTGAGAAACACTGACGTAGATGCTTTAGGATAGTGAGAAAGGGAGGGACATCACGTACTTGGACCACAACCCTCAGAAAGGCTAAATGAGGGATTATGGGAATTGCAATCCAAGGAACTAACTTCCTTAAGTGCTCGGTCTCTCCCTAAGCGGGCTGCGAGTCTCTCTCTGCGGCTGCCAGGCTCTCCCGATGCCAAGATCAACAGAGCGACTTACATGCTTATGCCTTGGATTGCTCATGCATGCCGTAGTAATTAAATAATAATACCACAAAGACAGAACACTCATTTTAGCTGTCAATCATGCCGGCTGACTCGGTGGGGGGGGGGGGATGTTAATGGGGGATCAGCCCCCCGGCTGCCTTTCTGATAGGGATTTGTAATTCGAGGAAGTCGGGGATGGCCGTGCTCGCCAGGCAGAAACCCTCTAGGACAATATGACAATATCATGCGACACTGTTATAGCGCTGTCGTTCCACTTCAATGGCTATGGGATCCCGGGATTTGCAGTTTAGGAGGAGTATTAGCATTCCAAGCTAGAGAACTACACATCCCAGGGTGTCCTGGGAGGTGGTCATAGCAGTTAACATGGAATGATGCTGTTATAACAACGTGGTGTGATCTTGAGCTCAATTTGCAGAAATGGCAGCAAGCGGAGGACATTTCCGAGTGCTATAATTGTCTCGTTCGGAAAGCCCTCATAGAATCCTAGAGCTGGAAGAGACCTTGCAGGCCACCCAGTCCAACCTCAATATGCTGATGATAACATAGTCTGTACACATTCAGAAGACTTACAGCGTCTGTTATAGAACTTCAAGATGTCAATGATAACATAGTATGTGCGCATTCAGAAGAAGACCTCCAACATCTGTTAGAGAACTCCAATATGCCGATGATAACATAGTATGTGCGCATTCAGAAGACTTACAACATCTGTTAGAGAGGAGGAGAGAGGAGATTCCATCTGAACATGAGGAAGAACTTTCTGACTGTGAGAGCCGTTCAGCAGTGGAACTCTCTGCCCCGGAGTGTGGTGGAGGCTCCTTCATTGGAAGCTTTTAAACAGAGGCTGGATGGCCATCTGTCAGTGATTTGAATGCAATATTCCTGCTTCTTGGCAGGGGGTTGGACTGGATGGCCCACGAGGTCTCTTCCAACTCTTTGATTCTATGATTCTAAGAAGACCTACAACATCTGTTAGAGAACTCCAATATGCCAATGATAATGTAGTATGTGCACATTCAGAAGAAGATTTACAACATTTTTATAGAACTCCAATATACCGATGATAACGTAGTATGTGTGCATTCAGAAGATGACTTACCATATATGTTATAGAACTCCAATATGCTGATGATAACGTAGTATGTGCACATTCTGAAGACTTACAACATCTGCTATAGAACTCCACTATGACGATGATAACGTAGTATGTGCACATTCAAAAGAAGACTTACAACATCTGTTATAGAACACCAATATGCGGATGATAATGTAGTATGTGCGCATTCAGAAGAAGACCTACAACATCTGTTAGAGAACAAAATACCGATGATAATGTAGTATGTGTGCATTCAGAAGAAGGCTTACAACATCTGTTATAGAACTCCAATATGCTGATGATAATGTAGTATGAGTGCATTCAGAAGAAGACTTACAACATCTGTTATAGAACTCCAATATGCTGATGATAATGTAGTATGAGCGCATTCAGAAGAAGACTTACAACATCTTTTATAGAACTCCAATACGCTGATGATAACATAGTCATAGAATCATAGAGTTGGAAGAGACCTCATGGGCCATCCAGTCCAACCCCTTTCTGCCAAGAAGCATAAACGTCACACTCAAAGCACCCCCAAGAGGAAGGAAAGAGAGAAGTAAGGAAGGGAAGGAAGGGAGGATGAAGGAAAGAGAGAAGGAAGGAAAGACAAAAGGGAATGAAAGAAGAGAGAGGGAGGAAAGAGAAGGAAGGATTAAAGGGTAGAAGGGAAAAAAGGAGGGAAGAAGGAGGAAGAAAGGAAGGGATGAAGAAAGGAAAGACAAAAAGGAAAGAAGGAAGGAGAAAGAGTTAGGAAAGGGAAGGAAGGATGAAAGGGTGGATGGATGGATGGATGGATGGATGGAAGGAGAAAGAGGGAGGGAAAGGAAGGAGGTAAGTAGGAAGGGAAGGAAGGAAGATAGGAAGAGAAGGATGAAAGGAAGGAAGGGAAGGATAAAGGAAAGACAAAGGGGAAGGAATGAGAAAGGGAGAGAGGGAGGAACGAGTCAAGGAAGGAAGAACGAATAGAAGGAGAAAGAGCGAGGGAAGTAAGGAGGAAGGAAAGACAAGGGAGTGAAGGGAAGGAAAGATGAAAGGATGGAAGGGATGGAAGGAAGGGAAGCAGGAAGGGAAGAGAGAAGGAAGGACAAAAGGGTGGAAGAGAATGGAGTGAGGGAGAAAGAGGAAGGGGAGGGAGGAAAGAGAGAAGGAAGGAAGGACGAAAGGGAAGGGGAAGAAAGAGGGAGGTAAGGTGGAAGGATAGGATAGGATGGTGAGAAAAAGTGCAAGGGGCCGTACCTGGTGTCGATGCACCTTAGGTTTGCCCATACCTGGTGTCGATGCACCTTAGGAAAGTGTCATAGCACCGTTTTGGGCCCGTTTCAACTTTGAGGAGTTTGGTGTTGGCAACCGATTTCCCAAAACCGACAAGTGTGAATGATCCCCGATCCCATCCGTCGGCGCCCCTCGCTTGCCAAGCTTCTATCAGACGAGACAAGCCCCGGAGTGGTATAAACCTCAACGGAGAACCTGTCAGCTCCAAAGCTTTTGTGAATCACCTCCTGGAATTTGGGCTTGTCAATGAAACTCCTGGAAGAATGTATCCAAAATCTGGAAATAAGAATGCGTATTGATTCGTGCTGAGGTTTATCTCAGCGGCGGAATTGGATCCCTGCCGGATTAAGGTTTACGCAGGAGATCAGAAACCGTCAAACCAGAATTACAGGATGGTCTCGAAAGCCCCGTCCTCTGACGGTTTTTAATTTTTTACAGAAAGCTCTGCGCTATTCGCCTCACCAAAGCCTTCTCAGAATTAACTGCATAATTAACCTGCATTAATTGCCAGTTGGTTCACACCAGTGGTTCTCAACCTCTTCTTGACCAGGGACCCCTTTGGCCAGGGACCACGTTAACCAGGGAACACCTTGACCAGGGAACACCTTGACCAGGGAACACTTTGACCAGGGACCACTTTGACCAGGGACTTCTTGATCAGGGACCACCTTGACCAGGGACCACTTTGACCAGGGACCTCTTTGACCAGGTACCACCTTTATCAGGGACCACTTTGACCAGGGACCACCTTGACCATGGAACAGCTTGACCTTGGGCCTCTTGACCAGGGACCAGCTTGATCAGGGACCATTTTCTCCAGGGATCACTTTGACTAGGGACCACCTTGACCAGGGACCGCTTAACCAGGGACCACCTTGACCTTGATAAGGACCACTTTGAGCAGGGACCACCTTGACCAGAACCACTTTGAGCAGGGACCACTTTGACCAGGGACCTCTTGACCAGGGACCCATTTGACCAGGGACTACATTAACCAGGGACCCCTTTGACCAGGGGTCACTTGACCAGGGACTATTTTCTCCAGGGACCTCTTGACCAGGGACCACCTTGACCAGGACCACCTTGACCAGGGACCATTTTCTCCAGGGACCTTTTGACCAGGGACCACCTTGACCAGGACCACCTTGACCAGGGACCATTTTCTCTAGGGACCACTTGAACAGGGACCACTTTGACCAGGAATCACTTTGACCAGGGACCACTTTGACCAGGGACCACCTTGACCAGGGACCTCTTGACCAGGGACCACTTTGAGTAGGGACCACTTTGACCAGGGACCACTTTGAGTAGGGACCACCTTGACCAGGGAACACCTTGACCAGGGAACACTTTCACCAGTGAACACTTTCACCAGGGACCACTTTCACCAGGGCATGTGTACCATCAAGTGATGTAGGAGCCTCTGTGGAACATACATACACAGATCTACTTTGTTGGGCTACAACCACCAGCATCCTCTGACCACACTGGTTCGGGGAATGTAGGCATTGCAGTCCAAGGGGTATCTTTTTAGCACTGCCTGGGAGTGTCGAGAGATATTGTCTATGGGGAAGACCACCCATGGATTGGCTTCCATGCTCTCAATGCCTCTTCTTATTCTTTCCTTAGATGCTAGAGTCCTCAGACCCTCGCATCACAGACCCGCGCCGGACGTGGATCTCATTTGTGCAACGTCCCGGGGACGGCAGCAGCTCCAAAAAGAAATGCAAAGGGAAAGATAAGAAATTAGTAGGTCACCTCTGGAAGCTATACACCCATACTAATAATACTAACCATTAGGGATGTGCAACGTTATCGTTACTCTTCGTATTTCGTATTAAATTCGTGCCTATGAATCGATATTAGAAACATGTAGGAAAGGTGGGGGTGGGACTGAGAACACAGCATTCTGGGAAATGTAGTTTGGGAAGGCAGAGAATGCAAAAAGCCCTGCCCTCAACTACATTTCCCAGAATGCAGTGCTCAGCATCTGAAAACCCCCAGGGCATCAGCCATTTTGAGTCAACAATAAATAAAATTATTGAATCTGCAAAGAGGACTAAAGTAAGTAAGTAATAGTATAAACCTGTTCTAAGTTGAAATTATGCGGTTGTGTGTCATAAAGACAGACAAGGGATTGTTGTTGTTGCTTTTTGGGAGGGGGGGGTACATTGTTTTTGTCTAAACTTTAAAAAGATCCCCAAAAATCTGTAGATGTGTGAATCTTTCTGAAATTTCTGGGGACTGATGCTTTGGTTATCCTATGCATTGTATATAAAATTCAATTAAAAACGTTGAAAATTCCCCAAAAATCAGTGGATAAGCGAAACGTTCGGAAATTTTTGGGGCTAACAGTGGTAAATGTGCTCTACCATTGTAGTAAGTATCACTCCAATAGTTTCAAAAATGAGGGAGATAGGAGCCCCTGAAGTTTCCCCAGTTAGAGTAATTGTGCACAATGACTATAACGAAATTTTGTTACTCTAATTATAGTAATGATTTTTTCACTTACTTTAGAAACACTTTAGAAATGAAATGCCAACATCCCCCAGTTTTGTGATGACTTCTGAATCTTTTTTTTTCATGGATCGCACATTCCTAACTCTCCCTGATGATGCTCTAGATCAGTGGTTCTCAACCTGGGGTCCCCAGATGTTTTTGCCCTACAACTCCCAGAAATCCCAGCTAGTTTATCAGCTGTTAGGATTTCTGGGAGTTGAAGGCCAAAAACATATGGGGACCCCAGGTCGAGAACCACTGCTCTAGATCTCTCCCATTTCTCATCACTCTCTCTGCCACAGCCTTTCTATCTATACGCTGCCCTCTTGTGGTTGCCTCCGAGTGCTGCGTATATACATATCCATTCATTTGAATAAGGCTACCACAAAACATGGTGGATTCTTTTCATTGAAACTCTACCAGTATATTAAGTTTAGCAATGAAGGATATGTGTGCCACGTTTGGTCCAGATCCATCAAGCCATGTAAGAACTTTTGCGGAACAAGCTTATTTATATAGATACATATTTTTCAAGGAGAGAATATTCCACTTCTGGTGATTGTTAAGTAGAAGATGCTGAATTAATTGGGCACCTGTGTCTGGAGACGGCTGACTATAAATCCCTAGAATCCTAGAGTTGGAAACGATCTCAATGCCATCCAGTCCAACCCTCTTCTGCCAGGCAGGAAGACACAATCAAAGTATTCCTGACTGATGGCCATCCAGCCTCTGAGAATGACTCCAAGGCAGTGTATTCCACAGTCAAATAGCTCTTTCTGTTGGGAAGTTCTTGTTTAGCTGGAATGTCTTTTCTTGCCATTTGAATTATTTGCTCCATTGTGTCCTAGTCTCTGGAGCAGTGGAATACAAGCTTGGCTCCCTCCTCAATGTGACACCCCTTTTTTGGGGGGGGGGATGTTTTCAAGCTGTGGGTGGTGGACACCATGGTTGAAGAATGCATGGGTAGGAAAGGCTGCCTATATAAGGTACATAGGATGATATATGTCTTTAATGCAGTGTTTTCACATTTCTGACTTTCTCAATGTCTTCTCCCGCCCCTCTTTTTCTGTTGACTTTAGCGTGGGTTGGTCGGACCTCCTGGGCCCCCTGGTCCTCCAGGTCCCCCAGGAGCCCCTGGGGCGGAAGTCACCCAGGAAGTGTTATTGCAAGAGTTCAAGGAGATGCTGAAAGGTAAGCGGGTTCTAGGACAATGGACGGCCTTCAAAGGTCCACATCTTGCTCCTCTGTCATCCTTCTCTTTCAATAGGATCTCTTCAATGGAAGAGATCCCAAAGGTCATCCAGCCCCATCCCCTACTGCCATGCACAAAGCACGCCTGGCAGATGACCATCCAGCCTTTGTTTGAAAATCGTATAGATAGTTAAGGCTGAATGCTCTTTAATTGTAGGTGAACTATAAATCCCAGCAACTACAACTCCCAAATGTCAAGGTAACCGCCCCCCCTCCCCCAACTCCACCAGTGTTCACATTTGGGCATATTGAGTATTTGTGCCAGGTTTGGTCCAGATCTATCATTGTTTGAGTCCACAGTGCTCTCTGGATGTAGGTGAACTATAACACCCAAACTCAAGGTCAGTGCCCACCAAACCCTTCCAATATTTTCAGTTGGTCCTGGGAGTTCAGTGTGCCAAGTTTGGTTCAATTTCATCGTTGGTGAAGTTCAGAACGCTCTTTGATTGTAGGTGAACTATAAATCCCAGCAACTACAACTCCTAAAGGACTTAATTAGCTTCACAGTATAAATAGAGATGCATCTACACTGAAGAATGAATGCAGTCTGACACCCCTGTGCCTGCCATGCCTCTATGCTGTGAAATCCTGGGAGTTGTAGCTTGGTGAGTCACTAGCATGCTTAGACAGAGAAGATTACAGCCTTGTCAAACTACAACTGACAGGATGTCTGGGGGGAGACACAAGTCCTCCATCCCTGCTGCAGTGACTTTGTCATGCAGAATGAGTTGATGGCCTCTTAATTTACTTCTCTTTTTTTTCAGAAGCCACTGAACGGCGCTCCTCTCCAGAGCTTCCCGTTGCTCCCAGTGAGGACCCCCCATTGCCGTTCTCCTTGGAGGAACTCTCTCCTTACAAGCGGGTGGAAGAGGCCTTCCACTGCAAACTGAAGGGGCAGCTGGTGGTAGACAAGAAGACCTTGATGGAGCTCCAGAACTTCCAGATGGTGAGGGGACCTCTGAGCCACCACTAGGGCTCTCTCTCTCTCTCTCTCTCTCTCTCTCATGGAATTGTAGAGTTGGATGTAGAGAAGTGGTTCCCAAACTGTGTGTCACAACTTGGGAGTTGGGTGACTCAGATGAAGAGGAGGAAACAGACATTCAGAAATATGGGGTGGTCTTTCTTGATCTGAGGAGATTGGATCAAGGTGGGGGGCAGGGGTGGAGGTGGGTGGGGGTCTCTTGATACTGAAGACTTATTACCAGCATTCATTGAGCAAGAATGGAATAAGGAGAGATTACTCCACTTCTGGTGATTATTAAGTAGGAGATGCTGAATTAATTGAGCACCTGTGTCTGGAGACCGCTGACTATAAATCCCTAGAATCCTAAAGTTGGAAAAGATCTCAGTGCCATCCAGTCCAACCCCCTTCTGCCAGGCAGGAAGACGCAATCAAAAGATTCCTGACATTCAGAAATGTGGGGTGGTCTTTCTTGATCTGAGGAGATTGGATCAAGGTGGGGGGCAGGGGTGGAGGTGGGTTGGGGCCTCCTGATACTGAAGACTTATTACCAGCATTCATTGAGCAACAATGGACCAAGGAGAAATTATTCCACTTCTGGTGATTGTTAAGTAGGAGATGCTGAATTAATTGGGCACCTGTGTCTGGAGACCACTGACTATAAATCCCTAAAATCCTAGAGTTGGAAACGATCTCAGTGCCATCCAGTCCAACCCCCTTCTGCCAGACAGGAAGACAAAATCAAAAGATTCCTGACATTCAGAAATATGGAGTGGTCTTTCTTGATCTGAGGAGATTGGATCAAGGTGAGGGGCAGGGGTGAAGGTGGGTGGGGGCCTCCTGATACTGAAGACTTATTACCAGCATTCATTGAGCAAGAATGGAACAAGTAGAGATTACTCCACTTCTTGTGATTGTTAAGTAGGAGATGCTGAATTAATTGGGCACCTGTGTCTGGAGACCACTGACTATAAATCCCTAGAATCCTAAAGTTGGAAAAGATCTCAGTGCCATCCAGTCCAACCCCCTTCTGCCAGGCAGGAAGACACAATCAAAAGATTCCTGACAGATGTCCATCCAGCCTCTGCTTAAGAATCACCAGAGATTGAATCCAAGGCAGTGTATTCCACCGTCAAGAAGTTCTTCCTAATGTTTAGCTGGAATGTCATTTTCTGCAATTTGAATTCTTTCCTGCAATTTGTAAAATGTGATACCCTTTTACAAACAGAAACATGTCTCTCGTGTCCCTTTCTCTGGGCATGCTTAACTTTTCTCCAAGTTCCCTAAGCCTCTCCTCCTAGGCCTTGGCTTCTAAATCTTAGACCCTTTCGGTTGACCATCTCTGGCCAATGTTCTTCTTGAATTGTGATGCCCAGAACTGGACATAGTTTTATTCCAGGTGAGGTCTCGCCAAAGCAGAACAGAGTAGGACTATGACTGCCCTTGATCTTGACACTGGACTCCTACTGATGCGGCCTAGAATCGCATTGTTTTGCAGATGAGGTCACTTGGAGCCTTCCATATGAAAAAGGGAGGAGGTGACTTATCCATAGGTCATATCAAAGTCCACAATTTTGGCCCCCAAACTTGTGTATACGTTGACCTCGACTTACCCCCATCGCTTTTGGTGTGAGAATTCGCCATCAACTTATACATGAGGTCAACTTATGCACAAGTCTATGCAGTAGATCCCCTTTTGGCATGCAGCACCCTGTCGTCATGTTGACACAGCCTGCAGGCATGTGGCCACATTCAGGCTCCAAACCAGGCCCAAAGGTTGGCACGGATGCCCTCCTTCTTGGCATGGGGAAGCCCCAGGTATCCGCCAAGTATCCGACGCCCTCGATTCCACCCCAGACGGATGGCTATTAAGTTGTCATGAGCCTCCTTCTCAGGCTCAATTAGGGTGGCACCAGACGTATCCTTGAGAAATCATTTGGCCCGTTTGTACCTGACGGGACAGTCGCTCTCACCTGCTCCCAAAATATCATACCAAAGCTGTGTTAGAAAGATAGCATCATCCTAGAGTTGGAAGGGACCCCAAGGACAATCCATTCAACCCCCTTCTATAGCTTTACAGTAAGACACCATCAAAGCACTCTCAAAAGAGGTCCATCCAGCCTCTGCTTTAAAACGATATTAGTATATACTAGGCATGGGCAAACTTTCTAACTTGGGTACCGTATGGTAGCACTCCCTGCAAAGAGGACTGGCTTCCCGGTGATGGAAGGATGGAAGGAGAGAGGAAAGAGAGAAGGGAGGGAGGGAAAGGAGGGAGGAAAGAGGGAAGGAAGAAAGGATGAAAGGGTGGAAGGAAAGGATAGAAGGAAGGAAGGGAAGGAGGAAGTAAAAGGAGAAGGAAGGAGAGAGGGATGAAAGAGGAAAGAAAGGAGGGGTGGAAGGGAAGGATGGAAGGAAGGGTGGAAGGGAATGGAGAAAGGGAAGGGAGAAGGAAGGAAAGACAACAGGGAAAAAAGGAAGGAGAAAGAGGGAGAGAGGGAGGAAAGAGGGAATAAAGGAAGGGCAAAATGGTGAAAGAGCAGGAAGGGAGGGAGGGAGGGAGGAAGGGAGGGAAGGATGGAAGGAAGGGAAGGATAAAGGAAAGAGAGAAGGAAGGAAGGAAGGAAGGAAGGAAGGAAGGAAGGAAGGAAGGAAGGAGAAAGAGGGAGGAAAGAGGGAAGGAAGGATGGCAGGGAAGGATGGAAGGAATGAAGGGAATAAAGGAAAGAGAGAAGGAAGGAAGGAAGGAAGGAAGGAAGGAAGGAAGGAAGGAAGGAAGGAAGGAGAAAGAGGGAGGGAAAGAAGGGTGGAAGGAAATGGATGGAGGGAAGGGAGAAGGAAAGAAAGACAAAAGGGAAAGAAGGAAGGAGAACAGAAAGGGAAGGAGGGAGGAAAGAGGGAAGGACAAAAGGGAAGGAAGGGAAGGATAAAGGAAAGAGACAAGGAAGGAAGGAGAAAGAGGGAGAGAGATATGAGAGGGAAGGAAATATGAAAGGGTGGAAGGGAAGGAAGGAAGAAGAAAGAGGGAGAGGGGGAAGGAAGGACAAAGAGTTGGGAGAGAAAGAGGAAAAATAGGATGGCGTGAGAGAGGAGGGCCTGAGAAAAGAATCCAAGGTGCCACGTGCGGCCCCCGGGCCTGGGTTTGCCCATATCTGGTCTATACTGACCATACAATGTGGCTCAACTTGTGGCCCTCCAGGCGTTTTGGCCTCCCAACTCCCAGAAGCCCTAGCCAGCTTGTCCAATGGTCAGGAGTTCTGGTGCTGAAGTCAAAAACACCTGGAGGACTGTAAGTTGTGGAGACCTTTGAAGCCACTGTTGACTCATGTTCACCTTGTAGTTTCAGGTTCTTGTCTATTGTCTCATTCATCCTAAGGCTGGATCTACACTGATCTGCATTGTATGGTCAGTCTAGACCAGGCTTGGGCAAACTTCAGCCCTCTAGGTGTTTTGGAGTCCAACTCCCACAATTCCTAACAGTCTATTGTCTTGACCGCTTGAGATCTGAGGACCTTGTCTCCAAGACTGTCAAGGATGATGGAACTGAAGTCAGGTTGGGAAGCCCACGCCTGGTTTCTCTTTCCTGGAAGCCCCATGTTGACTCTGTCTTTACTTTCATCTGCAAAGGAGGGGCAGAGAGAGAAGGAAAGGGAGCAGGACATGAAGAAACAGGAATGTTTTATCAAGTGGCAATTTACTGGTGCCAGGAAATTGCCTCCCATTTCAAGCCAGTGGTTTCAGGGGAATTAAGTCTCTGTCTCGTTTGGGTTTAATTGCTTTTAATGAAGCAGGGAAGAAATGGAGCTGTCAAAGAGGACTGCCAGCTTCAGAGTATATCTGGAAAGCGGGGATTGAAAGCCCCCAAAGAGAGAGATCTGTGGGTTGGGACTACCACAGAGTGGTCCTAATGTCTAGGATTGTTGCACTCCAGAGCAGGATTCCCTCAGACTTTAAACACCACACAGTTGAGTTAAAATAGCAAGCAGTTTATTGAGGGTAGTAAAAGCCAAAGCAATAAAAAGTAATCCACCAAAAAGGGATGAAAGCGGGAATTGAAAGCCCCCAAAGAGAGAGATCTGGAAAGGCAGATCTGTCGAGGATTGTTGCACTCCAGAGCAGTATTCCCTCAGACTTTCAACACCACACAGTTGAGTTGAAATAGCAAGCAGTTTATTGAGGGTAGTAAAAGCCAAAGCAATAAAAAGTAATCCACCAAAAAGGGATGAAAGCGGGGATTGAAAACCCCCAAAGAGAGAGATCCGGAAAGACAGATCTGTCGAGGATTGTTGCACTCCAGAGCAGGATTCCCTTTAAACAGAGCAGGATTCCCTTTAAACACCACACAGTTGAGTTAAAATAGCAAGCAGTTTATTGAGGGTAGTAAAAGCCAAAGCAATAAAAAGTAATCCACCAAAAAGGGATGAAAGCGGGAATTGAAAGCCCCCAAAGAGAGAGATCTGGAAAGGCAGATCTGTCGAGGATTATTGCACTCCAGAGCAGGATCCTCTCAGACTTTAAACACCACACAGTTGAGTTAAAATAGCAAGCAGTTTATTGAAGGTAATAAAAGCCAAAACAATAAAAAGTAATCCACCAAAAAGGGATGATAACGGGGATTGAAAGCCCCCAAAGAGAGAGATCTGGAAAGGCAGATCTGTCTAGGATTGTTGCACTCCAGAGCAGGATCCCCTCAGACTTTAAACACCACACAGTTGAGTTAAAATAGAAAGCAGTTTATTGAAGGTAATAAAAGCCAAAGCAATAAAAAGTAATCCACCAAAAAGGAAAATCCAATTGATTAGGAAGTAAAAAGAACAGTTAATTCAAAGAGAAATAGTCCAAAGAAGTCCATGAAACTAGAGGCTTGATTTCAAAGGCGAAATTACAGCAAACGGGAATCAAACAAAGACAAAGGTCCAGGAATTTGGCATGAAGAACTTATTATGAATCCAACATTGCTGCGTCTGAAGCTAGACTCAGTACTT